CACCACTGCATAACCTACGATTCATCTCCAGTAGCAGGTAGAGGAGCAGAAGAGGCAGAGGAGGTATAGGGGGCTGAGGAGGTAGAGGAGCTAGTAGCTCTGGTTAGCAGATGCATGGAGCAGCTGCAAGCCATGGCTGGCTAGCTACCATTGCTTTTGGGATGATCACAAGTCACAGTGGCTACCATTACTGCCACTGCCACCACCATTTGACCTGCCCGTCCAGACCAAATGCCCGGAATGAGTTTTGAGACATCTCATATTCTCAATGCCCGGAACCTCTCACTCTCACATCTGACTGGCTGGTGGTGATGCATCTGATTCTCATGTTCTTCTGAGCTCCTGGAAAGAAATCAACCAAGTGATTAATTTGCAGCAGCATGCAGACTCATTGCAGCATACCTATGACAGCTTTCAGCTGTATCCGTCCTTCTTCAGCTCTGTTTTGGCAGCTGGGTAAGCTTGAAGTGAATGTACAGTAGGCAGCTATTTTGGAAAGACTTGGCAACAAATGATTACGGTATTCTTTCTAACCCACTGGTGGCACTGCAGGCAGGCACGTGACGAGCAGCTTTGTTTCTGCAGGGTCTGTGCAAGGAGAGATCAGTCATCTCAAACTCTAGTCTGAGAAACAAAGTTCCTGTGAGGCCTATGTGAGCGGTAGAATGTGCCTCAGAATCAGCCTCAATCCAGAAGCCAGCACACCTCTGATTCCACCACACAACCACTTTTGAGAACCCCTAGAAGTGTTCCAACACCCAGTGACCACCACACCACACGAAGCCATCGCCACCTGATGGCTCTCTGCTTCTCCATCTGACTGAATCTGGCATCAACTCTTCTATTCAACAACACCGTGGCAGCCACATGAGAATTCAGCACATTGAACCCCTGTTCCCAGCACGCCTCTATCAGCTTTGCTCTCTGCTGCTCCCCTTAGGACAGATTGATCCCACGGTTCTAGTACCAACTACTCAATCCTACTGCACAGCAGCAGCCACCTGAGCATCCACGACACAGAACCCCTTCTCCCTGCACGCCTCCACGAGCCTTGCTCTCTGCTGCTCCCCCTCAGGGCAAAACACCACCACAGCTGGTACTAATATCAACCCCTCAATCCAACTCCACAGCAGCAGCTACCTGAGCGTTCACCACACAGAACCCCTTCTCTCTGCACGCCTCCACGAGCCTTGCTCTCTGCTGCTCCCCCTCAGGGCAAAACGCCACCACAGCACCACCGCTGCCTGTGAACTTGGCTGCTGCCCCCACTGCCCGTGCTGCCTGCACCATGCTCAGATTCACTTCCCCCAACACCTCGTCTCCAAACATCTGCCTGGTAGGTGTGCAGAAGAAGGGTGGAGGAATAAACGGAGGGATTGCGAAATGTCTCAGCACTGCCATTGCCTACGATAGCAACTGCCCCCACAGCCCGTGCTGCCTGCACCATGCTCATACTCACTACTCCCAGCACCTCGTCTCCAAACATCTGCCTGGTAGGTGTAGAGAAGTGGAAACGTGGAGAGAGGGATGGAAGAGCATGAGGGTGTGTGGTCCGGAGGCAGGGGGTGGGAAGGGGGGGACAAGTGAGAGGCAGAATGTCAATTCCACTTCTTCTAAGTTTCGGTCCATCAGCCTAGCAAGCTTCCCCGAATACGAAGGTCGAACCAGCAACCAGCCACTTAAAGTGCACCTGCCTCTCAGATCACACCTGGGTGATTCTCACCTGCGCAGGTCAAAGTTCCGGTCCATCAGCCGAGCGAGCTTCCCCCAATCCCGTGCCACCAGTGCATCCCGCCCCTCCTCTGCCAGCGCTGCCACGTCAGCCATGGCCTGGCGCACCGCCACGTCACCGGCCTGCCACCTGGCGCGCACGGAGCTGTGCACGTGGCCTGAGTCGCTGGGATTGGCTGCGAAGATGACCTGCAGAGGAGGTAAGAGGGCTGGGTCCATGGGCTGGTACATGCCGTACCCGTGTGCTTCTAGGTGTGGTCTGTTGAAGTCCTGAGGAGGAGGAGAAGGAGACGGCAGCAAGAGAAGGCAGCGAGTGAGAGGGGAAAGTGGGATCGTACTCATGGCTGGCAAGAGGGCCGGGTCCAAGCGCTGGTTGGCGGCGTACCCATGTGCTTCTAGGTGTGTACGTTGAAAATCCGAGGGGTGTGGGGGGCGGAACGAGGAAAGTGTGAGGGAAAGGAAGAGGGCATATAGCCTGAGATATATCTCAGCCCTATTCCCTCCCTGAAATAATTGAGGCTGAGACCACGCGGGTCAAGGACCGAGAGCTGGTTTACCTACAGCACAAATAACGCTTGATTCAACTCTCTTTTTTGGAAGGCGGTACTAACCATGAACACCAGTCCACCGTAGGTTTGGATGACCCGATCCTGCAGGCCCGCGGCAATGCCGACCCTGCTCTCGGCCTCGAGGATGAGGTTCGGGCGCACAGGTATGGGAATGGCGTGGTGAAGGTGGTAATGATGAAGGAGGCAGCTTAGAGCGGCAGCAATGATTGCACTGGATCCTGACAGGCCCACCTGATTGGTTGGTGGCAGTGGGAGAGGGAGTTAAAAGAGAGAGCATGGGATAAGATAATGCGCGGAGGGGAGAGATGGTTCAAGGAGACAGCAGATGTGGTGCGGATGGTGGTGGCAGTGGTGACGGTGATGGTGGTGGTGCAAATGTTTATGCAGACATCAAGTGGCAATGGATGAAGACTACGTGGCGAGGTATGTTGGTAACCCTACATGGCGAGGTATGCTGGTGGTAACCCTACCTGGCGAGGAATGTTGGTGGAGTAGGAGAGGGTGAACGCGGCGTGTTGTGGCAAGTCAACGCCGTGAAGCTGGCAGTAGTCGTGTACGCACGCGCACAGCGACACTAGAAGACAAACGCCGCCATCCGCGCGCTCAAGCCGCTGCTTCTTGGATCGTTCTGCCTGTGCCGCCCCTAGAGTCAAGGCGCACGAGGGGGACGACAATACGTGACGGGGCGTGTCAGTAAAAGCTAGTAATAAGGGATTACAGCATATGCGACGCTCGCATGGATTGCGACAATCGCGAAGATTGCGACGACCGCGATAATTGCGGCGATCGCGACCATAACAAAGGGGGATGCACCCAGTCGTTTGACTTCGGTGCTCCGTCTTGTAACGAGCGACGGTGAACGAAAGGATGGAACGTTACAAAGCGACGCGCGCACCAGATCGCTATGCGACGAGAATTCGACGACGTCGTCGCCCGCACACGGCTTGATTCGTATAGTTCGCGAAGGCTGTAACGTGACTTCAGCGAAGAAGTCCGCGAGGGAGAAGGAAAGAGTCTTCCCGTTGTAGCCGTCGCTGGGATTCCCCAACAGCCCCACGCGCGCGAACGCCCGTCGTGTGATGCTGCGCGCCGAGTCAGAATCTGCTGCCGTGGAGATCGAAACTGAGCAATTCTTACTCTGGTCATCGCGTCCTTCCATCTTAGCGATTGCGAGAATTGATAAGAGCGGAAGAGACTAGTGTGACGGAAACTAATAGAGTATAGACGTAGAGTCGTGTGTTGTAAGGGCTCTCGTGGAAAGTGACGGAATTATTGTGGCTAGTAACGATGTTCGACGAGGAATGGCTGGAGAGAAAATCGGTTCCTTGTTTGGAAGGGATGGTGCTGCTGGGCACGGGAAAATCTGGAGCTTGGGTGCTCACCACAACTGCTCAGATCAAACCGAGTGTCAAAGGCAGTCGTTTACATGTCCACGTGTACAGCTCGGGCCCACAGCCTAGAAGTTGGGTGTTCATTCTTGTGAAATAAAAGCGAAATGTTGAGATGAGTCTGGTATACTTACCTGGGCGGGGTCAATCGGTGATCAAGAAGGCCGATGGCCTAGGGGCGGGCCCGCCATTGCACTCCGGCCGGCCCTGTCCCTAGCACGCCGGAACTCCCGGTGATGCACGTCATAATTTGTGGCAGAGGGGGCTCGCGTTCGCGCGGCCCCTACCAAATTGAAACCTGAAGAGGGATTGTACGATGCAAACAAGGAAATTGAAATTAAATGTAAGCCATGATTCGGCCCTGTGGGTAGTCGAGTCTCAAAGAACCTGGTCAGCATGTACAGTTGAAGCACTTGAAAATGTTGGAAAAAAAATGTAAGATGGTCTAAAATTGGACGTGGTAAAAAAATGAACAGGTCTAAAAATGGACGTACAATCGCTGTAGGGAGAACGGGTGTAGTGAATCGAATCTCACAGGATTTCAACACTAGCCGATCATCAACGAATCACTCTTTATCGACACCTGTGTTTCGCGCGCAAAGTGTCACAGGCTGCGACTGTCTGTCAGAAACAAGACCGTCCCCCGCTTGACGAACCATGCTCCAACCACGAGTCGTGCAGGGGCTGTCAATTACGCGAAACGAACTGTTACACAAAATCCCCTCGTCACACCCACTTTCGCCTCAGATTTTCATGACCACGACGTCTTCGTCAGCGTCGCCACGCCTCGCCAACATGCGTTGTCGGGGGTGCCCAACCTGCTTTTCCTGGTCGTGCTTTTCCAATTTTCTAGGGTTCCTCGGAGGAAGGCTTGGTGGGAGTTGCAGGTATTTTCAAGGCTGTACTGTACCAGCAGCAACGTCAGTTCTTTATAGCTCCCGCCGACAGCCTTGATTTTACACGCAACAGGATCCGTAGGTGCTTCGGGTGTGCTCGATTAGGGTACCGTTCACATCCTGCTGCTGTTACTCTCGCGAATATAACGTATCCAGGTCACAGGTCACAGGTCACAGGTCACAGGTCACTTCCGTGCGAGCTCTTTTCTCCGCGACAAACAATTGTTTCCCTTGTTAGTTCCAAGGTTAACCCATGACGCTCGCTTCAGTGTTCGTTTCGGTAATGACTCGTTCCAATTCGTTTCTTCGCGAACCGCTTAGGCAGCAGCTGACTTGCTTCTTCCCGACTTAGCATCACCGGACGGCTGTAGAATCGTACGCCGTAGTATCTGAACTTCCCGATTGACGGTTCAGTTATGGAAATTCTTCCGCCGTCAACTACCCGTCAGCCGGCTATTCCGGGCCGGCCGGAACAATCGGAGGAGTACGCATGGGTTCCAGGTCTAATCGACGCGGCGACGATCGAGAAGCTTGAACGCGTGGGGATGGCATGGGGCCCGCTGACCGGCCTCCCCTGGGGAGCTCCCATCCCTTTGCTTCTCCTCACAGCCTTCTGCACCACTCTGCACCGATACAACCCCAGGCGGAGGGATTTTCCCGTGGGAGTGTCCTTCGGGTGGTACATTCTGCAGGCGGAAGACGCGGACGATGAGCCGCCGCCAGCGGAAGCGCAGAAGGGCGGGGGAGGGGGAGGGGGAGGCGGGGGGAGGGGACACGGGGACGGGGGCGCAGGCGGTCACCGCCAGTCGCTTTTCTCCGATAGTGAGTACTCCGATTCCGAGTTCGAGTCGTCGCGCCAGGCCACGCGGCTGTCCGCGATAGGCGGCGGAGGAGGAGGAGCTCCATCGGGAGGAGCGCTAGGAGCGGCGGCGCGCGCGGCGTACCAGTCATCTGCAGGTCCGGGCGGGGGCGTGGGGGGAGGCAAGGGCGGAGCCATCCCGCAGGGAATGCGGCCCGGCGGACTAGCCACGGGTCTTCTCTCCACCATGGTTGGCGCAATGGCAGGGGGCGGGGCAAAACCTGTAGCAGCAGGCGCAGGGGGAGGGGCAGCTTCCGCGAAGCCCGCGGGGGGCGGGCTGCTGCGGCTGTGGCAGGGGGGAAAGCTGTACGACGCGCCGCCGTCGGGGCAAGATCTTAGGGTTAGCTGGCGCGCCAACGGGCTGTTTCACGACACTATATCGGACGCGATGAGCTCTATAACGAGTTTTTCCGCCGTAGGAGAGGAGGACGATGATCAACTACTGGTGGTGAATGTCGAAATGGATAATCTGCCCCCGCGCGCCCCGCAAGCGGACAACCTACTCCCCCCTTCCGCGCTCCCCCCTGCTGCTGCGCCCCCAGGCGCGGTTCCGCGCCAGGGCAGTCTGGGGGCGGCGGGCTTGCCGTCTATGGGGCTAGCAAAACAGCACAGCCTCAGATCGGACCCGGGAACCGTGGCAGGGGCGGGCGCATCCGGGGCGGGCGTTCCTGGGGGAGGTGTATCCGGGGTAGGCGCATCTGGGGCGGGGCGTACTGACAGAGACGTGACTCTACTTGAGATGCTGGCGCACGTGGGATCGCGGCTGTTTGAAGCCGTGGGGAGCGCGGAGGAGGGAGGAGGCGCATCCGGGGTAGGTCACAGCGGTGGGTTAGATAACCCTACGAGGGACCACAGCGGGAGTTTGGCGCGGTCGCTAGGTGGGGGGCCGGGGGAGGGGCGGAGTGTGCGGGCGGGGGGGGAGGGGCGTGTCCGGGGATGGCATGTCTGATGTGGATAGGGAGAGCGTGGGGCGGGGGACGGCTAGATCAGCGTCAACAGCACGGAGCAGGGTGGCTGCTGCCAGTGCAGCTGCAGTTGCGAAAGGGTTTCCGGCCTTTTTCAAGTATTTTGCATATGGGATCGACCGGCAGACGATAGAGGAAGAGGGGGAGGATATACCATCGTGCGGGCTTGCCGGGTTGTTTGTCCCCGGGTCGAAAAAGAAAGCGGTGCTGATTCGGTGGCGGTATGATGTGTCTAAGTACGATGAATCTACCGTGGCGCGGCTGAGCGCGAATTTTTGTTTTTTGGTGGAACGGATTGCATCTCTGCCGTCGATTGAGGCGCTGCCGATTTACTACCTGCCCGTGCTGACCGACGCGGAGAGGGAGCAACTAGAGGACAAGTTTTCCGGGCGGCTGGTGCCGCACGCGTTCTGGCACGAGGAGGAAGAAGGGAGGAAGCTTCTGCTGGACGTTGGGGGGTATAGGGATGGGAGGGGGGTGGGGAGAGGCGGCAGGGATAGGCTTAGGGAGAAGGATCGGCTAAGGAGGAAGAAGAGGCAAGAGGAGGGGAAGGGAGAGGGTGGGGAAGGTGGGGGGGAGAGGGAAGGAGATGGAGTGATTGTGGGAGCGGGTGATAATACTGAAGGGAGAGTAGTAGAGGGAGCAGCAGGAGCATTAACAGCAGGCGCTTTAGCAGCAGGAGCAGTAGGAGAAAGAGAGATTGCAACAGGTGATGCTACTGCTACAGCCATTGCATCCCTCCCTCCCCCTCCTCCCTCCCCTGGCGCAGCCTCATCCGCCGCCCAGTCTCAGGTGGGTTCTAGCGCCAGAGGGGGAGCAGGGGGGACAGCAGGCGGAGCAAGGGCAGGCGGAGGCGGAGGCGCAGGGGGAGGGGGAGGTGCGGGGGGAGCAGGGGCAGCGGGCAGTGTGGTAACATCGGGATTTGACACGGTGACAGATCTGTCGGATGCGGCGCCAGGGAGTGTGGGGAGGGGGGTGAGGAGCAGGGGCAGGGGTCTGAATGTGCGCGATCGAACTTTGGTGGATCTGTTTGAGCGGCAGGTGAAGGTTAACCCGGCTGCCACGGCGCTGCTGCTGCTGCACCGGGGGAGAGGGCGCGGGGGCGCGGGCGGAGGGGGGTCATGGGGAGGTGGAGCGGGAGGAGGGGGAGCGTGGGGGGCTGGAGGAGGAGGGGAAAGAGGAGCGGGAGCGGGAGCAGGAGGAGGAGGAGGAGGAGGTGGGGTGAAAGGGACGAAGGTGGTGGTGAGAGAAGCGGTTTCTTACATGCAGCTGCATGCGCGTGCCCTGCTGATCGCGAGGTTCGTTGCCAAGAAGCTTCCTCGCCCTGCTCTCATTCCGGCGTCGCACCGGGGTAGCAGCCACAGCACCCCTGCCGCCACCCCCAAGGCCGCCTCCTCTGCCGCTGCTGCTGCAGCCGCTGCTGCTGCCAACGGCACGGGTGTTTCTTCTGGTTCCCCAACCGTTTCAGCAGCACCAGTAGCAGGAGGAGGGGCAGGAGCAGGGGCGAATATAGCGGCAGCGGCAGCAGCAGCAGTGGGGGCAAGCCGAGCGAGACCAGAGGTGCAGCTAGTGGGGGTGTGTATGGAGAGAGGGGTGGATTGGGTAGCAGCGATACTCGGGATCATGATGGCTGGGAGGGCGTATGTGCCTCTAGATCCCTCCCTGCCACGTGGCAAGCTGGAGGAGATTGTGGAGGAGTCCGGGATCATGCTCGTGCTCACGTCGCGCCACCTGGCGGACGCGCTGACGTGGATGACGCCCCGCTCGCCACGTGGCGCCGCCGCCACGTCAGCGTCAAGTCCGCGAGCGGCCAATCAGGGAGGGCCAGAGGAGGTAGGCCAGAGGCAGGATCAGGAGCAGGATCAGCAGCAGCAGGAGCGGCGGCGGCGGCACCATCTGTTGAAGCACAAGCGGGCTGGCAGCTCGGGAAGCTCAGGGAAGGCGGATTCAAAAGGGGAGGCCGGTGTGAGCGACAGTAGAATCAGCGATGGGAGGACTGGAGTGGCGATTTTCTTCCCCAGCAGCAGCAGCATGGGTGCCGACAGCAACCACAGCAGTAATACTTCAGGGGAGGCACGGCTGGGGAGGGCGCTGCCTGTATGGGCGGTAGAGGAGGTGATAGAAGGCGAGGTGGAAGAGGAGCGGGCGGAACGAGCGTTGCTGGGTGACTGGGGGCCTGGAGATGAGGGGATGACTGGCAGAGAGGCAGGAAGGGGAGGGGGAGGGGCCGGGGCTGGTGTGGGGGTGAGTGCAGGTGTGAGTGTAGGGAGTGCGGGATTGGATGTTCTAGTGGGGTTGAGGCCGAGGGCGAGTGGGACGTGCTGTGTAATGTACAGAGAGAATGAGCTGGGGCGCGTGCGGGGCGTGGTGTTACAGCACCAAGGGGTGGTCAATATGGTGCATTGCTTCAGACACAGATTGCCTGCCGAACACTCTGCTGCTGCTGCTGCCGCTGGTTCGAATCCTGCTCCTGCCACTGCTGCGCCTGCCACTGCGGCTACAGGTGCTACAGCTGCTACTGCTGCGGCGGCTGTAGCGGCTGCTACAGCAGCGGCGGCCGCTACAGCCGGAGCGGCCCCACCAGTGGATGTGAGGGCGCAGATCTCTCCTGCTCACCTGCCAGCTCACCTCTTTGAACTCTTCACTGCATTTGATGTCGGCGCTGCTGCTGCCATCTGCCCCTCGCCTCTCGAACCATTTTCTTCCAACGCTACAGCTTATAACGAATCTGCTTATAGCGGAGCAGGAGGAGGAGCAGGAGGAGGAGCAGGGGCTGTTACTTCTGCTGCTGCTGCTGCTCATGAGTCTGCTGTGGTGCATGCACATGCATGTGCGGAACTTTCCTCAGAAGCTTCCCTCCTGGGCGTCTCAGGGCTGCTCACGCTGCCAAGTGTCGCAATGTGGTTGGAGCCCCGGTCTCTCCCGAGCCTGCGTTGGGTGGCCTTCTCAGGCGAGCCCGTACCTAGAGCTCTGGTTTGGCGCTGGCTTCGGGCCGGACGTGTGGTGGTGGATATTTACGGAGCTCTGGAGTGTTCCCTAGCTGCCACGTGTGCAGTCTGGCGGCCTGGCGACAGGGTGGCGGATACGATTGGCCGGCCACTGCCAGGTGTCCACGTGTACATTCTCGGGCCGAACCTAGAGCTCGTCCCGATTGGCGCGGGCGGCGAGGTGTGCATTGCAGGGATACACGTGGCGAGAGGGTATTGGAAGCGGCACGGGGAGACGCGGCAGAGGTTCGTGAGCAACCCGTACGGCATGGGAGTGCACGACAGGAAGCTGTTCCGAACGGGGGACCGGGGGAGGTGGTTACCAGACGGGTGTGTGCAGTTTTTGGGGAGGTTAGAGCAGCAGGTGTATATCCGAGGGTTGAGTGTGGAGCCGGTGCAAATAGAGGAAGCGGGGAGTAAGGTGGATGGGGTGGCGCGCTGTGTGGTTGCGTTCAGGGCGCATGACCCGGGGAGACAGCCGTATCTCGCTGCCTATCTCCTGCTTAAACCTTCGCTGGCAGCGGCTGCTGCTGCTGTGGCGGCTGCAGGAGAGGCAGCGTTGGGGGGAGGGGCTGGGGGGGAAGCAGGGGCAGGGGCAGGGGTGGGGAAAGGGGCGGGGAAAGGCGGGGGGAAGGGGGTGCAGACCCCTGCTCAGCAGCTACTGGCGTCGCAGCAATTAGCAGCAGTGATTCCTAAGAAGGTCCGAGAGTATTTCAGATCCGCCCTCCCTCCTCACGCTGTTCCCTCAGCCATCCACGTGATTCACCACCTCCCCTGGACCAAGACAGGCAAGGCCGACCGCTCCCGCCTCCCTCTGCCGCCCGCGGACTCCTTTTTTGTCTCTTGTGACGAGGACGGGTCTGTGGGCGGCACGGGGTTGGGAGCGGGCGGCGGGGATCCGTTAGAGACGGCGGAGGAGCGGGCAGTTGCGGTGATTTTTGCCGAGATGCTGCCCGGGGTCGAGGCGGGCAGGTTGCGAAGGAACTCAAACTTTTTTGAGCTGGGAGGGAATTTGTTTCTGGCAGCACAGGTGGTTGCGAGGCTGGTTGATTCTATCGAGAGTTCTGTTAAGGAGGGTGGGAGCAACGGGGGGGAAGGCGGCAGTGCTGCTGCTGCTGCTGCCGCTGCTGCTGCTGGTGGTGGTGGTAATGCTGGTAGGATGCTAGGAAAGGGAGGTGGAAGAGGGGAGGGGGGAGGGAAGGGAGGGAGGAGAGGGGGCAAAGGCAGCAGTGGGAGCGTGGGTGCTGGGGAAGCAGCAGCAGGTGGAGGGGCAGGAGGAGGGGGAGGGGGTGGAGCAAGGGCGGAGTTCTACAGAGCAGGGCTGACGCTGAGAGACATGTTCAGTGCGCCCACTGTCATGGGCCTTGCTGCTGCTCTGCACCGCGCTGCTACTGCCGCTGCCGCCGCCGCCGCTGTTTCTGCTGCTGCTGGTTCTGCTGGTGGTGGGGGATTGGGCTTGGATGAAGGTTTAGAGGATAGTGATGGGGAGGAGCAGGAGGAGGGGCAGGCAGGCTTGGGAAAGGGAGGGGAGAGACTGCTGCGCCTGGCACCTTTCCCTTCAGCCGCTGCTGCTGCTGGTGGTTCTGGCAGTGCTGCTGCTGTTCCTGCTGGTTCTGCAGCTGGTGGGGCAAGTGAGGGGGATGGGGTGGGCGGAGTGGTGGGGGTGCCATTGTCAGAGGCGCAGGTGCTGCTGTGGGTGGCGTACCATGCTCTACCGCACCCTCAGCTGCTGGACGAGTGCCATGTGTGGCGCCTGCAGGTGAGACGGGTGCCAGGTGAATGCCATATCCCTGTTTCCCTCCCTGCCTCCATCCATCTCCCGTTTCACAGGGCCCCGTCAACTCTCCTCGCCTTCAGCAGTCCCCCACAAGCACTTGTGATGCGCCATGCAGCGCTGCACTCTCGCTTCATTGTCAAAGGACCAGCAGCAAGCACAAGCCTAAGTCATCGTTTGAACCACCCTCCCCCCACCCCCCTCCCTCTCCCCCTCCCTCTCCCCCTCCCTCTCCCCCTCCCTCTCTTTCCCTGCCCCAATACAGGGTCCGGTGAACTTCCCGCGTCTGCAGCGGTCGCTGCAAGCACTGGTGGTGCGGCATGCAGCTCTGCGCTCTCGCTTCGTTGTCTGGCACACCAGCAAGCACAAGCCTAAGTCATTGCTTGTATTCCCTTTCCTGCCCAAACACACAGGGACCAGTCAACTTCCCTAGGCTGCAACGGTCTTTACAAGCACTGGTGGTGCGCCATGCGGCTCTGCGCTCTCGCTTCGTTGTCTGGCACACCAGCAAGCACAAGCAGTCCGGACGAGGTGGCGGTGGTGGCGGCGGCAGGGGCAGCAGCAGCAGCAGCAGCAGCAGCGGCAGCGGTTCGCTGCGGTTGAAAGCGGCTGTGATGGATGCTGCGATTAACTCTCTGAAGACTGAGCTCGCTGCTGGCGCTGGCGCTGCTGGGGCTGCTGGAAACGCCAAGGGCAGGAGGCAAGCAGGGAGAGGAGTAGCAGGAACAGGAGGAGCAGGAGGAGGGGGGAGAGCAGGAGCAGCAGGAGGAGGAGAAAGAGTGAGTGCAGCAACAGGTGGTGGGGAGAACAGGGGAGGAGGAGGAGGAGGGGGGTTTGTCTATCGGGCCCTAGCAGGGCTGTTTGCACCGAGCCTCTTTGCTCCCAGCTTCTGGAAGACAGCAGAGAGTGTGCTGGAGTGTGTAACGCAGATCCACACGCACCCCACCCATGGGCCTCCGTTTAGGCTCGCTTTGGTGGATATTTCCGGCGCGAAGTACTCCAAACGAAACAGGCTTATATCGGGGATAATCGCGGAGGCGAGACGGCCGTTTTGCCTGAGGACTCCGGAGGAGGCGGCGGTTCAGCTAATTGTGGGAGGGAATAGGGCGGATGGGGAAGGTGGAGGCAGTGGGGGTGGCATGGGGGGGATGGGAGTGAGTGGGGGAGGAGGGATGGGTGCAGCCGAAGTTGGGCTGTTAGCAGGAAGAGGAGGAGCAGCAGCAGCCAAAGCAGCAGCGGCGGCGGCGGCGGCAGCAGCAGCAGCTGGCGGCGGCGGCGGCGGTAGCGGCAGCAAGGGCGGAGAAACAGCAACAGCAGCGGCAGCAGGGGCAGCGGGCGCTGTTGAAGGGGAGAGCTTGTTTCGAGCGACGCTGATCCGGCTGAGCGCCACGGAGCACTCACTCGTGCTCGTGTGGAACCCGCTCATCTTCGACGGCGTCTCCTCATCACTGTTCTACTCCGACCTCCTCCAGGTGCGCAATTTTTGCACCGAGAAAGAAAAGAAAGAAAGGAGAGAGAAATTAATAAAGTATATTATTTTTATTATTATTTTTATTGGTATTGTTATTATTGTTATTATTGTTATTATTTAAAACAAATAATAAAAAAACAAACAAACAAACAAACAAACTTATCTTGACTGTGCCCCATCTCACTTCCACCTTTTCTGAAAAAAAAAGAAGCATTTCTCCTCTCGTTTTCTCCTCTCTTTTGCTCCAACCTCCTCCAGGTTTACAAGGCGGGCGGCTCGGCGGCCGACCTCCCCGCAGTCGCCAGCTACGCCGATTTCGCCCTGTGGGAAAAGGACAATTTGGCATGTGCCGGGCACAGGGAGTGGGACCTGGGGTTCTGGAAGCAGGCAGTGGGTGTACCTCCTCCAAAACTACCTCCCCAGCTGCAACCCAAGGTAGACGACAGCGGGAGCGAAGGAGGAGCGAGAACGGGCAGAGGAGGACGAGCAGCAGCAGGGGCAGGAGGAGCAGGAGGAGGAGGAGGAGGAAAAGGAGGAGGAGCAGCGGCGGCGGCGGCTGCGGCGGTGGCGGCAGGGGGATTGGCGTTAGCGCTACGGAAAGGGCATGTAGAGGTGCTGATAGCAGCAAGCACGAGGAGGCGGCTTGAAACCTACGCCTTTCACCGCGGTGCCACGCTCTCCATGGCCTTCCAAACCGTTCTGCACGCCCTGCTACACCTCTGGACCCACCAGCACTCCGTCGCGGTCGCCGTCCCCGTCGCTAGGAGACAAATCCTGCCGCTCCAGTCGGTGATCGGGCGGTTCTCGGATTTGATTCCCGTGGTGACGGATATGCGGAAGCATCTGAGCCCTCCGTTGGTGGTGGCTGGACGGCTGAGATCGTTCACTTCGTCGATCAGTCGGGCGTCATCGTGTGTGTCGTCTCGATGCGTCTCCCCTTCTACTTCCCGCCAGTATTCCGCGCTCTCCCCTCGCCTCTCTGCCTCCACTCCTGCTGCTGCTGCTGCTGCTGGAGGCGCTGTTGGGCCAGGTTCGGGCTTCCGACCCTCCAGCCACGGAGGCCGGAGCTCCGGAAAGGGAGAGGGGGATAGGCCGGGGTCGGCAGGGGGGAGGGGAGCGGGAGGGTACTGCAGTAGTGGGGACGACAGGGAAGATGGGGCAGCGTCGACAGCTGATAGAATAGGTGCTGCTGCTGCTGGTGCCGCTAGTTGCTTACGCCCTGGGATGACTGGGAGGAAGGGGGATGGAAGGAGAGGGGGAGGAGGATCAGGAGGAGGGGGAGGGGGTGGGCCTGGTGGGGGAGCAGGGCGAAAGCTGTGTCTGCCCAGTGAGGTGCATGCTATCGGTGATGCTGACTCCCCTCCCGTTCCCTCCCCTCGCTCCTCCCCTGCTCCTGCTGTAGCTGCTGGGGGTGCTGTGGGTTGTGCGGTTGGTGCTCCTGCTGATGCTGCTGCTGCTTTGAGGCAAATCGCGGCTGCTGATGCTGATGGTGTGAAGCAGGGGCAGCAGGGGCAGCAGGGGCAGCAGGGGCAGGAGTTTGTTCAGGGGAGTGGGGGTATGGGGGTTGGCACTGACGTGCTTTCACTTGCTGCGGCTGCTGTTGCCGCAGGGAAGGGGGGGAGGCGTGGGGAGGGGAGCCGGCCTGGTGGAGGGAGTGGAGGGAGTGGGGGGAGTGGGTTGGTGCAAGGGAAGCAGGCGGGAGGGGTGAAGGGGAATGGGGCGGATGGGGAAGGAGGAGGGAAGGGAGGGTTCATGGGAGGAGGAAAGGGAGGGGGGGAGATGTGCAACGACCAGTGGAGGTCTGAGGGTGTTTCCTTTGAGCAGCTGTTATTCCAGGTACGTAGCTCACTCCCTCCCTCAATGCACCGACGTTGGAAGTCTATAAAAGCCATCTCTCCCTCTTACACGCTGCTGTGCCAGTCCATGCCTGCTCGCCTCCGCACTGCATCCCACCGCTCCCAACCCCTTTCAACTCCCCATCTGCCCTCGCATCCTTTACCCTCATACACCCTGGCACCGGATCTCATCCTAAACCCTAAACCCGAAACCCTGTAGAGGACTCCGTAGTGGGGGATCTAGACCCTGTACCCCTTCACGTGTAATGAGGTTATTTTTTAGACGGCTCAAAAAGCACCGACCCTCCCCCACGCCTGCTCCCAGTAGAGGACTCCCTAGTGGGGGATCTAGACCCTGTACTGTACCCCTTCACCATCTTATCTTCATTCTCCTGTTCTCCCTCTCCCCAACCTTTCCCACTCCTTCCCCTCCCCTCGTCCTGACCTCCTCCGCAGGTTCGAGAGCACACACTGCAGGCGCTGCAGCACCAGTCCATCTCCCTATTGATTGAACGCCCTTCTCTTCCATTCTCCTGTCCCCTCAAACCCCCCACCCCACACACTCCCACCCACCAGGTGCGAGAGCACACCCTGCAGGCGCTGCAGCACCAGTCCATCTCTCTCCGTCTGCTCGCCTCCGCACTGCATCCCACCGCTCCGGACCCCTTCGCCTCCCCCTTTGCCCTCGCGTCCTTCGCCCTCACACACCCCGGCACCGATTCCCCACCGAACTTGCTCCCCCTAGAAGACTCCCTAGTGGGGGACCTAGACCTAGAAGCCTCTTCTGCTGCTGCTGGGTTTGGTGCCGCTGGTGCTGCTGGTGCTTTGGGTGGTGCTGCTGGTGGTCTTAGTGGTGTGGGTGGGGTGGGTGGAGGGGCGGAGTTTGGAGGGAGTGTGGGCGGCGGTGGTTGGGGCGGCGAAGTGGCGTTATTTCCCTTGGGATTGTCCCTGCGGCCACTGAGAGACGGGCGGCTGGCCGGGCGGCTGACTTACCAGGTAATTGATGTGGGGTATGCTAGGTAACAGTCCGTTATTGTCTAGGCTATCTGGCAAGAGGCAGGGCGCAGAGGGGACTTTTGAGGTGCCTCAAAAATTGATGTGGGGTATGCTGGGTAACAGTCCGTTGTTATGTAGGGTATCTGGCAAGAGGCACGGCGCAGAGGGGTCACAAGATGGACATGTTCTTCTCTCCTGCCCTTCTGTCCCTCCGCTCCCTCCCCTTACTCCACCCACCCACCCACCCATCCACCCACCCGCCCACCCCGCCCACCCCGCCCACCCCGCCCACCCTGCCCACCCCGCCATCCCAGGTGGATGCAGTGCCTAGAAGTATCGCAGAGGTGCTAGCGAGGCAGATAGAGCGCGGTTCACACATGCTCCTCTCCCACCCTCGCCTTACACCCACCCACCTGCCCACCCTCCCATCCCCCCAGGTGGATGCAGTGCCTAGAAGCATGGCAGAGGTGCTAGCGAGGCAGATAGAGCGGCTGGCAGAGGCAGCAGTGGAGTCACCTCGACCCTTGCTGCTGGATGAAGCCACTGCCAGAGCGCTCAAGCAGGCGCGGAGGCGAGGGGGCGGGGTGGATGGGGGGAAAGGGAGTGGCGGAGGGGGTGGGGGTGGGGGGATGGTGGGGCCGATAGGGTGCATGCCGTTGTGTATAGGCCGCGATAGGCGGGTGCTAGTGAGGCAGGGGTCATCGGATTCGGATGAGTCTGATGTGAGCGTTTGAGGGGTGTGGGCGTTTGAGGGGTGTGGTGTGTGTGGGTTGTTGGTTGACTGAGGTGGGGGAGGGGGCATGGTGGGGGCGATTGGATGCATGCCGTTGTGTATAGGGTGGGATAGACGGGTGTTAGTGAGGCAGGGGACGTCGGATTCGGATGAGTCTGATGTGAGCGTTTGATGGGTGAGGTGGCCGATGGGTAGTGTGTGTGTTGCTGGTTGGGTTTTGTGTTGGTGTTGACTGGGGTTGGTGAGAGTTTTTTCGTTACCAGGGGTGTTTTGTTGGGGATGGGTGGGATGGGATGGGATGGGAGGGGAGGGTGGGGTGGGGTGGGGTGGGGTGGGGTGGGGTGGGGTGGGGTGGGATGGGATGGGATGGAGCACGGTGACAGGCAGTGCAACACATGGAAGGGGACACATTAACAGGTGAATGGGCAAGCAAGTTAAGCAAGCAAGGGGACACACTAACACACATTGCAGCAGAGGACTTGCAACAGCACATCTGATATGACGTGACCCACCTACCTAGCAGTGGGGTGGACGGTTACACAAGCAAGGGACTGGCACAAGCAAGGTCTGGCCTATTGTGCTCCAAGGCTCCCAGCAGCTACAGTACCATATACCTTCTTGATTTGATTCTATTGCTGCTAACTTTAGGCAAAAACTGTACAGCAGGTCCTACTCTGACTGTTGAGACTAGCACGTTACAAGACTGCAATAATCGCAATCTTTTTGCCTCTATTGAATACACCAACAATGGTAGTTACGGTAGTTGGTTGGTCCTGTATGCATCAGTATAATCAGAGAAATAGGTGGTTGTCTGCTTGGCTTGTTTCTTGGTCTTTACTTCACCGTAGTCATGCCTATGACCATTCCACTTCATATGGAGCAGCTGATCTCAATGTGTATTGTGTTTCTCAGCACATCATGAAACTTGACTTCTTTCAGAAAGTGTGCCTGTACAGAGTACTACCACATTGTGTTGTCATCTGTCAAATGTAATTCTATGCTTGTAGGCTACAGTGAGTAGCACAATAGGGAGTACAGTTGTTAGGGTTGCATATTTGTACTCTCACACTTTCTAGTTTCAAACATTCCGTTGCATTCCTATTCTGAGATGGTATCACGAGTAGGTTAGATCCTCGTTCGTTTTTAGCTAGCCTCCGCGCCCTACGCGCCCTCCGTGCTCTCGCGCCCTCCGCGCCCTCCGCGCCCTCCGCGCCCTCCTCGCGCCTAGCCCGCGCCCTCCTCGCGCCTAGCCCGCGCCCTCCCGCGCTGTCCAGCCTGTCGCGCGCCCTCCTTAGACCTCCGCGCGCCCTCCCCCACCGTTGCGCGCCCTCCAAAACCGTCGTGCGCCCTCCTTAGACTGTCGCGCGCCCTCCTCAACCGTCGCGCGCCCTCTTCTACCGTCGCGCGCCCTCCTTAGACCGTCGCGTGCCCTCCCTCCGCCTGTCGCGCGCCCTCTTCCGTCAACGCTTCTCGCACACCAGCGTGCGCTTACCGCACACCTGCGTGCACTTACCGCACACCTGCGTGCGCTTACCGCACACCTGCGTGCACTTACCGCATCACTCTGTGTGCGCTTCCCGCACACCTGCGTGCGCTTCCCGCACACCCGCGTGCACTTACCACACACCTGCGTGCACTCACCGCACACCTGCGTGCGCTTACCGCACACCTGCGTACACTTACCGCATCACTCTGTGCGCTTACTGCATCTCTCTCCCCTTCACCTGTGCACCGGTCCCACGCCATTCCTACTGCACTTGGCTCCCGGCTCAGCGGCTGGCAGCCGCTCTTCCCTCCGGTAGCGCCACCTAGGTTCGGTTAGGGCCCCGCCCCACGACTATTTTCTCGCCGACTGTCTCTCGTCGGTTTCCCCGCTGGCGTCCCTAGCCCTCCGTAGTTTTCCTCCTCGTTCTTAGCTCCGCCTCCGCCGTGCTCCAGTCGCCTCTAGCATGGGCTCTGCTATGGAGGCCCGTCGCCTCCGCTTCGATGCTGAGGGACGCCCGATCGAGTTCGGTACCTGGCAGCGCCAGACCACACGTTTCCTCACCAGCCAGCGTCAGGACGGCGCCACTCTGTGGGCCCACGCGTCGGGTGCTCTCGCGGCACCCCCGTCCCTCGCCGCCCTGCCGACCGCCCCGGAGCCGACTCCTACGGCCCAGGCGGACTACGACCGTCGGGTCCTGGCTCGGGACGTGTGGCTCTCTCGTGACGCGGCCGCCGCCCTCACGCTATCGGAGCTTCTCCCCCCGACTGAGGCCGCTCACTTTGACCAGGTGGAGACAGCCAAGGGGGTTTGGGATGCTATTGTGGCTCGCTATTCCACCCCCTCCTCCGCCTCCCTCAGTCGCCTCCTCATGCCGTTCGTGTTTCCCGACCTAGGCTCGTTTGCGACTGTTTCCGACCTAGTGACTCACCTCCGCTCGCTTGACGCCGGTTTTCGTTCGGCCTGTACCGACGCACAGCTCCTTGTTGCTCCCCCCCCCATGTGGCTCACTGTGCACTGGTTAGTCACCCGCCTCCCTGACCGCCTTGCCACTGCCCGCGACGCGCTTCTTCAGAAGCACCCCACTGAACTCACTATAGACCTCCTTCAGACTGCTCTCGGGACCATCGAGAGCAGCCTCCTCACCGTTGCCTCCGCCACTGATGCGGTGGCCCCCCGTCTCTTTGCGGGGTGTGCCGCCCCTCAGCTTCCCACTTTCACCGCTACCCGCGCTTCTGCTGCTGTGTCGGTCTCTGAGGACACCGCTGCCGTTTCTGCCGCAGACTGGCAGAAACGGGGCAAGAGTGGCAAGAAGGGCGGGAAGGGGGGAGGTGGGGGCGGAGGAGGTGGCGGTGGAGGGGGCGGTGGAGGTGGGAGCGGCGGTGGTGGTGGAGGCGGCGGCGGCGGCGGCGGCGGTGGTGCACCAGGGGGAGGGGGCCTTGGAGGAGGCGCAGGACAGACAGGTCCACCCACAGGTAGCGGCCCGACCGGTGGGGGTGCTGCCCCCCAGCAGCAGCAGCCACAGCAGCAGCAGCAGGGACAGCAGCAGCAGCAGGCACCGCAGCAGTTCCAGCAGTGGGGGCCCCCGCTGCAGTGGGGTCCGCAGCAGCACTGGGGTCCCCCGCCGCAGTGGGGTCCGGGAGGCCCTGGGAGCACCAGCCGCAGCAGCAGCTCTTCCAGCTGGGCCCCTCGCCCCCCTCGCCGTGACGCTGGCCCCTGCACCCACTGGTGCCTCACCGGGCCGGGCAGCCCCTGACTCTGTGGTCGCGACGACCACTCTGCCGCGCGGTGCTTCCGCCGCCTCGACGACCTCTACCGGGCTCGTTGGGGCCCCCTGGCGGTCACGCCTCGCTGGTCTCGTCTGTTAACCCGTAAGATTGATGTCTTTGATTTGTCCATGGACGATGCGCGTCAGCATGCTTTGTATGTTGATGCTGACTTTAGTGCTGAGGGATCTGTGTGCTCGCGTGTTCGTAGTTTAGCCTGCTTGCCTCCTGCTAGTGTAGCCTTGTGCCTGTCTAGCTTAGGTGCTTGTGTTGCTGCTCTAGGTGCTTGTGTAGCGACTGGGTCAGGTGACCCTCCGGCTGAGGCCTCTTTGTCGTTCACGCTGGACTCGGGCGCGTCTCAGTGCTTCTTCCGCGACCACACGACCCTTACGCCACTCCTCACTCCTGTGTCAGTGGCTCTGGCTGATCCTACCTCTGGACCAGCCGTTGCGCGTAGCTCCACCACCCTCCCGTGCCCTGTGGTCCCCTCTGGTGTCCTGCGCGGCCTCCACATCCCCTCGTTCACTCGGAACTTGGTGGGTGTTGGATACCTCCGGGACAGGGGGATCACGGTTACCTTCGTGGGGGGTGGGCGGACTGCAGTCTGTACAGACGCTACCACAGGTGCTGTTCTGGCCACGTTCACCAGGGAGCCCCGCTCCGGTCTCTACGTTCTTCACACCGAGCGCTCCCCGGTCGCGTCCTCCCCTCAGGTCGTTGCGTCCCCTCCGGCCCAGGTCCCCAGTCCAGTTGCTGTGTCTAGCCAGGTAGTCGTGTCCGGTCCGGTCGCTGTGCCCAGTCCAGTCGCTGCGTCTTGCTCCTGTCGCTCTCTCACCCACCGCACCGTCCTGTGGCACCACCGCCTTGGCCACCCGTCGCTCCCTCGCCTACGTGGCATGCTCAGTCAGGGACTTGTCTCAGGTCTCCCACGCACCTTCCCGTCGCTCCCTCTCTCGCTTGCCCCTCCTTGCTCTCCGTGCCTCGCCGGTCGCTTACGCGCCACTCCCCACTCCTCCTCCCTTCGTCCAGCCACCGCTCCCTTCGAGACTCTCCACTTGGACGTCTGGGGCCCTGCCCCGACGCAGGGGTCTGGGAGGGAGCGTTACTTTCTGGTGGTCGTTGACGACTTCTCCAGGTACACCACAGTGTTCCCTCTTGCGAAGAAGTCCGAGGTGACTGCTACGCTGATCAGGTGGCTTCTAGCCACTGAGGGCACTCGCGGTCGTCGAGTCAGTTGTCTCCACTCCGACCGTGGGGGCGAGTTTCGCTCCGGTATTCTTGGCAGGGCAGACAGGGCAGCCCTGGCTCAGGTGAAGTTCGAACTGCAGAAGAGACACAAGTGCACTGACCTGGGTGAGCTGCAGCGTTACCTTGGCTTACAGATCACCCGGGACAGAGCCGCTCGCACCATCACACTGACGCAGTCACACATGGTGCAGCAGGTCCTTCGACGGTTCGACTTCCAGTTCTCCACCACACAGCCCACTCCTCTTGCTGTTGACCACCGACTCACTGGCCCCTTTCCCGACGAGCCTTTTGAGTCCAGTGGTCCCTACGCAGAGCTGGTGGGCTGCCTCATGTACCTGATGACTTGTACTCGGCCGGACCTCGCATTTCCCCTCAGCGTCCTCTCTCATTTTGTTGCGACTGGGAGACACCGTCCTGTCCACTGGACAGCTGCTGTGAGGGTGGCGAAGTACCTGGCGACTACATCAGGCATGGGGCTTGTGCTTGGAGGGACTCAGCCAGTGG